ATCGCTAAGACAGCGCTCATACTTCGCGATGACGTGCGTCGGACGCGCTACCTTGCGACAGCGGCCCAACGCAGAGCGATTGCGTCGTAGCGCCACATGCCGAGTCGACGCACGCCACCGCAAAAATTTGATTTGCATTGTCAACGCTGCATACATACATCATACATTGGGAAATTCCCAGGAGGACGAACAAGCATGAATTTCCCAACTCTGGGGTCTTATGAGGGGTCAAAATTGGACTGAAAATTTTAACTGCGCTATACCTCTTCTACCCTAGTGTCTATGACATTGCAAACTCGATTGTTTCTGATAGTTGATTGGATGTTAGTTAGCGATCCTCATCCTCGCTCGGCGCATTGGGACCAGGAGGTGGGGGTGGGCTACAGTGAGAAAAGTTTCCTTAAGCGCCACTGCACCCAGTCCCAGTATTGTAAGTTTGACAAGACAGGCGGTGTACCGAACCCCCTAAAAATGCATGTAAAATTAAATGTGTCGATCCCGTGACGCACACATTTGGGCGCAGCGTAAGTCGGGGGAAGGAAGCAGTTGGGTGAGGCCACAAAGGAGATCGGCGCCTATTCCGCTCTCCACCTGCAGCCAGGTGCTACCTATGCAAAAACTGAGGAGTACTGCATGCTGTTGCTGGTCCTGCGCTCCTCTTTTACGAGTGGTTCTGGATACTGTGGGCCGCCTGTCACCCCACACTCACGATTTAACGGCTTAGTCATCACACCGCCATGAGCAGTGACTTTACGTGGAGCACTTTGCTTAGTTTGTTAAAGGCAGTGAGCAGGATAGCTGAGGGGGAGGGGGCGTGACTGCCAACGTCATTGGTGGGAGGGTTGCTGGGTTGCTCAAGGTACCTTCGGCCATGCCCCACTCAGCCTTTCCACCAATAACGTTGGCTATACCCCCCCCCTCTAGCAGCCATCGTACCGATTGCCTTCAACGGCGCACGCAAAACAGAAACTAAACTATTCCCTTCGAAACCCCCCCCCTCGCTTGGCAATTTATCGCGTACTGATTTATAAGTTATCATTGGTCCAATTCAAACCATCGAAACAGTAATTTGAGATGGAATAGCCTACACTCTTTATGGTCCTCACTGAGATTGTCCTGACCCGATCATCCTTATCCCTGTAATGCGGTCCCAGAAATACATCGTGAGCCGATCAACCATATCAACTCACTATCAATCCCCGTACAAGACGACCAAGACCGCTGGACGGCGACTTGGAAAACTTCAGTCAAATCAAATGGTTTCGGCTGATCCTCTGGTCCGATACAGAATGTATCCTTTAGTTCGATTTCATTGCTGCATTGAACTCGTCGTAACTTCCGCCAATATAGGCTGGTAGTGCTGAAAACCATTGTATCAGGCGTCTGGAGGCACATTCCACGCTAATCGCATGGGCGGAATCAGTTGGACCATTGCGCCTTTCTTATTATTGTGTTGCTCCGCTTCTTTCACCTCAGAAAGAAGGGCTACCAGCGGAAAACGCAATGGTCAAAGTGACTGCTTCTAGACAATTAATGTGGAATGTGCATTTGGAAAACAAAGGGGCGTTGGCTAGTAGGCGGGGCAACTGTCCAAACGTTACTGGTGGAAAGTTGGGCCTACGGACAACTAAAACTCAATCCCTTTAATGGCGCCAACTTTCTGTTGTTCTCTGCGCTCTCTTGCCTGAGTGGCGATTTATGGCCACTTTGATCTTTCACATTCCAACTTTTAACGCATACTAAGTGGCTCATCCACCCGGTGTCCCCTCCCCTCGAAAAAACTCACCTCTTGGCTCGCATCATGCTTTTTGTACCTCACGATGCCTTGGCAGAAGCAGTGCCTTATTGCTCTGCGCTCTGGCCTATCGTGGCAGGACCCCCACCAAAGTTTTAGTTGTCACGTAAACCGGAAAGTTGCTGCACCACACCCCTCAGCGGCCCGGCAATGCGACTCAACTTTCTTCCACCGCTGACGCTCAGATCCGTGCCCTGCCCCTGGCCTACAAGCACCAACCCTTCGAAAGATTAACCGAGCTTATTCAGGGCTTCAGAAAATGCACAAACCTTTTTTATTATCACAGTAGACAAGCAGCTGGTAACGCCAGATGGTGGGCGGTTCAGCTTTTAACGAGACCAAATTACTTGCATCTTTTAACAAAACCCCTTCTAAGCCATAATTAATCGAATCCACTCCGATAACTACTGTATAACTACGGTATTGTACATCTACTCCTTCAGTGGACGCATTCGACTGAGTGCAGATACCTGTAAAATAATCCGGTTTTTAGGAAGAAGAAAAACTCACCTGAAGTCAGCTACCGTACCTGTTTCGCACGATTTCCCAGTAAATCCTTGGATCGCCGCTCCTCACAGGACTAGGCAAAACGTTTGCGATTAATCGTCAGAGGGACTGACCTTTCGTCTGAGCCAATCTCATTAGCTTGCCACCTTGCCGTCCTGACAACGAAAACTTGTGAAGTTACGCTCCCAAAGATCCGGTTCTTCTCCTAGATTTCGAAGAGCGAGGGGATCAGGGCTTCGAACGGATGTCAATGTCATCATATTAACTAACGTCCCGCAGACCAACAATGATGGTCGGCTGACAATTTACCCACAAAACACCATGAAGATGAGAGAGACCTCTCTTCAATACGGTCCACACCACCTATACAACCAGTCTTTTCCGAGCGACGGGATGGGGCGTGCAGTGAGGCTGGGTTTGGCGGCCGCCAGCTCGTTTCCCACCAGTGGACGGTTAGAGACAAAAACTGGTTGAAACCGACTGGTTTGGGTGATATGCTATATCTCTATGACTTACAGAAAAAAAGAAAAACGGACTGCTCTCCCTCCCTCCCCTCCTCCCTGACACGCCCCATCATCTGCAGCAAACAGGACCGTACCAAAACTTGTGAAGCAGGGAGGGGACAAATCGGTCAGCTATCGGAGCTATTAATACTGCGACATCAAGGGAGCATGAAAAAGGCCAATTTCTTCAAGCTGGTTATACTTACCCCTTAAAGACCACGTGCAACCCTCCTCCCCCCCCCCATACCTGAAATGGCTTCCACAACCATTATGTACGATTTCACCAATATGTTGGTTTCTCGATGTGCAGTTGATATCCCGCAACCTGGAGGGGCACTGTCAGGAGGCTGGAATGATGCCAACCGCGGATTTCTTCACACAGTGGTAGTTCTCCACCCGAACCGGTTACTATTGCCAGAAAAGGCAGCCGCGGGGGGGGGCAATTCCATGCCTCCTGACACCGCCTCGCTGGACTGTAACGATATCAGCTATATTTATGGCGTGTGGTTTCAGTGTGCTTTACCTACGGTAAATATAATTTGCAACAAACTTTGGGCGAATAGTGAGCGTAGTTGTGGGCGTAGCATCCTGGGCTTACTGGAAGGAGCAAGACATAAACAAATATGGAAACGAAGCATACTCCATGCAACCAGGTTTCCAAATCCCTTGCAATTTCTTTTTTTTTCTTCTTTTCATGAGAAAAAAATTCTATTCCGTGTCCTATACATTGTAGGGAAAAGTGAGCATACAACGATCTGCCGCTTGAAAAAACGGCTACCGACACCTACCCCATGTAAATGGGCCCTCAAGCCGTTTTGACTGCACTCCACGTCTCCTTTGATGTTGTTTCTGCTGACAGTTGGCAGCATTTCCGTTGCTACTTTTTGAGCAAATGAACGAACGCATTTCAGATAGTCCATCAGAGGATGTATACTGGAACAGTTAATGTCTTAAAGTTGCAGTTCACGCTGGTCGCATGGGCGGAGACGGTGGAACACTAAGCTATCCTTATTGGTGCGATAAGGAATAAGAGCGCGCCAGCGAGAGAGAGGAACAATGGTCGCAAAACGGTGATCGGAGTGCGCCAGTCGGAGCGACACAATTGTTTACTGTCTCCGCCCATACGATCAGTGTGGATAAGTACCGTAATGGACGAGCGCGATGGGCTTCGGTTAACGATATGAAACATACCTGTACATTGTACTTGCTCTCTGTTCCAGCAGCACATTGGACAGTTGTCGAACTGTTTTCTACGCAGAAAAACGGTACAAAATAGGCGTCACCAACATCGGTCATTTGTTGCTGCTGGCTTACATCGTAGAGCTTGATCTCATTACCGTTACAGTCACGAATATCCATTGAGATCTGGAAATCCTCTAGACAGATGCAGTAGAACACTTTATATCGGGGAAATGGGAAGGGCGTGGCCGTGTACCAATGTTGGACGTAACGATGACAGTGCTCTGGGAGAGATGTGGGCGTTGGAGACACTTGTAATAATCCGTTTTCGCGACAAAATACAGTATGACAACTCCCAAAAAACGCATCATACGAAACGTTCAAATGAATTACAGAGCCACGCCTCCTTCATCCCCGGGATATGGAGTGCACAGTTAATATTGGTAATCCTGTACATTTGCATTAATTTTCTTTGAAAAATGCTTAATTCTCATTTTATACCCTTGAAAAAGACCCGAAAAGAGTGAGCAAACTTTGACTTACTTTAGCTCCTGGAGTGCCTACCGAAAACGGTAACTCGAGCTGCTGCGCCGTTCACTGAAAGCACAGGAAAATGAAAAGGGGCAAAATGAGGTTCCCATGCTGGTCACAATGACCAAAATATCCTAAACACCTCGTTCTTGATTGCCGAGTGGGCGAGCCACGAATTCGGCGCGTTTTTTCATCGGCACCTGCTAATTCCACCTTCTTCACTACTATAAAAGAACCGCAAGAGAATGGGCGCGATACGACGACCGTTTGCTGGCTCCGCCCACCCGGCAATCCCGCACGACGCCATAGCCTATGCGAATAGTACCTGTATCGGGTCCTGTGGTCAGTTGATTCATATCCAAGTCTGCGTACTTCACTTTTAGTTTCCGATCCGTACTATAAATATTTACATTTGAAAAGATCGAGGCTGATCGACTGAACGTGGAGACATTTAAAGGAACCATTGTGTAAAAGTGGGATCGCCGTAATGAAAAAAATCTTTATGCACAATGAAATTGCTTCACATGTCCTGGAGCTTCATTCTTTTCAGATTTAGGCAAAAACCTTCTTCTCCGTAACGGCCATCTGAGATCTACAGGAGCCCTTCAAATGCCCCTTTCCTCAGTTAAAGGCAGTTGGCACGATGGTTTTCCTACTTAACGGTAGTAGGGGGGGGGGGGGAAATGGCGAAAGAACGGAGTGAAACGGTCAAAATCCTGCGAAGAAAAAGCCTCCGTTCTCAGTGACTTGTAAATCGATTTCGGACGAGTTTCCCGTAGGCATCTTGCCAATCACCGCTACCGAAGATACGGCTGCATATGTGTACCATATATGCA